GAAAATATATGCCTTGAGGTTGCCATTGCCACTGGGTGAAGCAGAGTATGATCGATAAGTTTTACTATCATTTTAGTTACTGGGATGGTGATTTAGCTTAGGATACACCGTACAAAGTTTTTCCAATAAATTGGATTACTTAAATCATAGATCGCTTACAAATGGTTACAATTATAGACGCAGTCATTTTTAAGGTATCAGTGATTTCGGTGATTTTAATAACGTTGTTTTGGAGTTTGTCGAACCACGTTAAATTTGGTCTGTTATCACGAGTAAGTCAATATTTATTTCTGTCTAATATTTATTTTCTGGTGGTAATGATCTAGTTTTGACTTTACTTTTTCCCAAAAAAAAAAAAAAATGCAATTTTTTAGAGACAGTTACAAATAGGACCCGGAGCCCCTCCAGTTATTATCTGAATTGGATGGTTTTGTCTAAACTTATGAGGCTGGTCATAGATTCCATTTTAATAAATTTAATTATTCATTTTGTGGAATCTTTTATATATATATATATATATCATTCAAATCATTTTGTGGAATCTTTTATATATATATATATATATCATTCAAAAAAAATTTAAATCGATATGATATTCATAACTTATTCAATTTATTGAATTTTGTAAGATTTATGTATAAAGAAAGAGAAATGTATTGAAATGTTGTATTGAATGTTGTATTGAATGTACATTATATAGGAGATGTAAAGTGGAGATGGAGTGGTGGAGTAGGTGAAGTGGAGGTGGTAGTGCTGTAGTGGGTTAGGTTTAGTGGAGTAGGTGAGGTGGTAGTGGTGTAGTGGGTTAGGTTTAGTGGAGTAGGTTTAACAGCCCCCCTCAAACTCAAGGAGGTTAGACACAAACCAACTTGAGTTTGGAGAGAGTAACAAAACATGAAAAAAAAGAAGATAAAATAAAAACAAAACAGGATAGGAGACACGGTATGGTCGTGTCAGACAGTTTACGGGGTCATGTCGGACCGTTGTAGCAGACACTGTGTGGGGTCATGTCGGACCGTTGTAGAAGACAGTTTACGGGGTCATGTCGGACCGTTGTAGAAGACAGTTTACGGGGTCATGTCGGACCGTTGTAGAAGACAGTTTACGGGGTCATGTCGGACCGTTGTAGAAGACAGTTTACGGGGTCATGTCGGACCGTTGTAGAAGACAGTTTACGGGGTCATGTCGGACCGTTGTAGAAGACAGTTTACGGGGTCATGTCGGACCGTTGTAGAAGACAGTTTACGGGGTCATGTCGGACCGTTGTAGAAGACAGTTTACGGGGTCATGTCGGACCGTTGTAGAAGACAGTTTACGGGGTCATGTCGGACCGTTGTAGAAGACAGTTTACGGGGTCATGTCGGACCGTTGTAGAAGACAGTTTACGGGGTCATGTCGGACCGTTGTAGAAGACAGTTTACGGGGTCATGTCGGACCGTTGTAGAAGACAGTTTACGGGGTCATGTCGGACCGTTGTAGAAGACAGTTTACGGGGTCATGTCGGACCGTTGTAGAAGACAGTTTACGGGGTCATGTCGGACCGTTGTAGAAGACAGTTTACGGGGTCATGTCGGACCGTTGTAGAAGACAGTTTACGGGGTCATGTCGGACCGTTGTAGAAGACAGTTTACGGGGTCATGTCGGACCGTTGTAGAAGACAGTTTACGGGGTCATGTCGGACCGTTGTAGAAGACAGTTTACGGGGTCATGTCGGACCGTTGTAGAAGACAGTTTACGGGGTCATGTCGGACCGTTGTAGAAGACAGTTTACGGGGTCATGTCGGACCGTTGTAGAAGACAGTTTACGGGGTCATGTCGGACCGTTGTAGAAGACAGTTTACGGGGTCATGTCGGACCGTTGTAGAAGACAGTTTACGGGGTCATGTCGGACCGTTGTAGAAGACAGTTTA